CCTCAGCCTCCCGAATAGCTGGGACTACAGGTGCCCGCCACCTCGCCCGGCTAGTTTTTTGTATTTTTTTTTTAATAGAGACGGGGTTTCACCGTGTTAGCCATGATGGTCTCGATCTCCTGACCTCGTGATCCGCCCGCCTCGGCCTCCCAGAGTGCTGGGATTACAGGCTTGAGCCACCGCGCCCGGCCACTCTTAGGCATTTTAATCTAAGATGTATTTCCAGTGATGATATAAATCAATTCCAGAATCATAGATTAAAGTGAATTGAAAGCATATATAACAGTTTCAAAAATATTCACACCAAGTAATTCCACTCTCAGGCATCATTTCTCAGGAAATAATGGAAAATGTGAGCAAAGATGAAAAGCTATACCCTGCAGCATTATTTGTAACAGTAAGCACCTGAAGACAAACAAAGCATTAATATTATTAGTATTATTTTGAGACGGAGTCTCGCTCTGTTGCCCAGGCTGGAGTACAGTGGCACGATCTCGGCTCACTGCAACCTCCACCTCCCAGGTTCACACCATTCTCCTGCCTCAGCCTCCCAGGTAGCTGGGACTACAGGCGCCCACCACCACACCCGGCTAATTTTCTGTATTTTTAGTAGAGACAGGGTTTCGCTGTGTTAGCCGGGATGGTCTTGATCTCCTGACCTCGTGATCTGCCTGCCTCGGCCTCCCAAAGTGCTGGGATTACAGGCGTGAGCCACCGCGCCCGGCGACAAACAAAACATTTAAAAATAGTTGCCTGGCTGAATTATTTTCTTTTATTTGATTTTGATTTTTATGTTTTGGAGACTGAGTCTCCCTCTGTCACCCAGGCTGGAGTGCAGTGGCACGATCTCAGCTCACTGCAACCTCCGCCTCCCGGGTTCAAGAGATTCTCCACTGGCTGAATATTTTTTATGCTATCATTCACTGGAATGATGCAGCCACTAAAGATTTTTATTGGCCGGGCGCGGTGGCTCAAGCCTGTAATCCCAGCACTTTGGGAGGCCGAGACGGGTGGATCACGAGGTCAGGAGATCGAGACCATCCTGGCTAACACAGTGAAACCCCGTCTCTACTAAAAAAATACAAAAAAAAAAAACTAGCCAGGCGAGGTGGCGGGCGCCTGTAGTCCCAGCTACTCGGGAGGCTGAGGCAGGAGAATGGCCTGAACCCGGGAGGCGGAGCTTGCAGTGAGCTGAGATCCGGCCACTGCACTCCAGCAAGGGGGACAGAGTGAGACTCCGTCTCAAAAAAAAAAAAAAAAAAAAAAGATTTTTATTTACGAAATAAGTTTATTAGAAGTTATGACGGCTGGGCGTGGTGGCTCACACCTGTAATCCCAGCACTTTTGGGAGACTGAGGCAGACGAATATCTTGAGCTCAGGAGTTGGAGACCAGTCTGGCCAAAATAGTGAAACCCTGTCTTTATTAAGAATCCAAAAATAAGCCGGCCGTGGTGGCACATGCCTGTAATTCCAGCTACTGTGGAGGCTGAGGTGGGAGAATAGCTTGGACCTGGGAGGCAGAGGTTGCAGTGAGCCGACATTGTGCCACTGCACTCCAGCCTGGGCAACAGAGCGAGACTCTGTCTGAAGGAAAAAGGAGAATCATCCTGTCTTTCCTCATAGAGAGGGGGAGGGCAGAGAGTTTGTCCTGTGTCTGCTTTTTCTCAAAGAAAAGAAGAGACGTCCGCCAAATTTTTAGCAGCATTTCGCGCTGAATGACTGCATGAGGGCAATCCTTATTATGTGCGCTGTTTTACAAGTTTTCTACAACAGCACGTCTGTGTTTAGGATCGGGAGAAAAGAGGTTTTTGTTTCTGCTGTTTAATATCTAACATGTGTTGTGACGTGTCCGTGGTCAGCTTGTCAGGCGTGGAGATAGCATAGTTGAATGAGATGTGGACAGTTGCTCTCCTCAGCTTCCATAGGGGTTTGTCCCTTCCCTGTGTTAATAGTTGCCTTGCCAAAACCTTTCAGGATTTTTTTTTTTTTTTTTTTTGAGACAGGGTCTGGCTCTGTCACCCAGGCTGAGTGCAGTGGTGTGATCACGGCTCATTGCAGCCTCAACCCCCTGGCCCCCTCCTGGGCTCAAGAAATCCTCCCACCTCAGTCTCCTGAGTAGCTGAGACTCCAGGTGTGCTCCATCACGCCCAGCTAACTTTTTATTTTTTTGTAGTGATGGGGTCTCGCCATGTTACCCAGGCTGGTTTCAAACTCCGGGACACAGTCCGTCCTCCTGCCTCAGCTTCCCAAAGTGCTGGGATTGCAGGTATGAGCCACTGTGCGTGACCAAGACACTTCAGGATTCTCAATGGTTTCTGCAACCAACATTGTTTAGTTAGTAACTCAGAACTCCAGTAGTCCATACTATGTGATGTGATTTTATTATTGCTTATATGCATTTGTGGGTTTATTGTTTGTTTGTTTTGTTTGTTTGTTGTTTTGAGACAGGGTTTTTCTTCTTGTTTTGAGACAGGGTCTTACTCTGTCACCCAGGCTAAACTACAATAGCATGATCCTAGCTTACTGCCTCCTTGAACTCCTGGGCTCAAGCAATCTTCCTGCCTCAGACCACCAAGTAGCTAGGACTACAGGCATGTGCCACCATGCTACGTTGTCTAGCTGGTCTTGAATACCTGGTCTGCAGTGATCCTCCCACCTCAGCCCCCTGAGTAGCTAGCACTACATGTGTGAGTCATGCCTGGCTAATTAAAAAATAATAATAATAACAAGAGATGGGGTCTCACTATCACAGGGTGAATCCCAAAACTGGGGTTCAGCCTAGGAGGCCACATGGGTTCTTGGCTTCCCACAGGAATTCAAGAGTGAGCCAACAAAGCAAAATGAAAGCAAGTGTATTAAGCAAGTTAAGGAATAAAAGGGGGGTACCGGGCACAGTGGCTCATGCCTGTAATCCCAGCACTTTGGGAGGCTGAGGCGGGCGGATCACCAGAGGTCGGGAGTTCCAGAACAGCCTGACCAACATGGAGAAACCCCGTCTCTCCTAAAAATACAAAATCAGCCGGGCGTGGTGGCGCATGCCTGTAATCCAAGCTACTCAGGAGGCTGAGGCAGGAGAATTGCTTAAACCTGGGGAGGCGGAGGTTGCGGTGAGCCACGATTGCGCCATTGCACTCCAGCCTGGGCAATAAGAGCGAAACTCCATCTCAAAAAGACAAAAAAAAAAAAAAAAAAAAAAAGGGAGGGGTGCTGCTCCATAGGCAGAGCAGTGGCATGGGCTGCTTGATTGAGTGTACGGGTATTTCTTGATCATATGCTAAACCAAAAGTGAATTCTTCGTGAATTTTCTGGGAAAACGGTGGCGAGTTCCCAGAACTGAGGGTTTCTCCCATTTCAGACAATATAGGGTAGCTTGCAGACATTGCCATAACATTTGTAAACTGCCGTGGGGCTGTAGGAGTGAGTGTCTTCTAGCACACCAGTGTAATGGTGTGTAATCATTGGCGTACAATGAGCAGTGGGGATGACCGGAGGTTGCTTTCATCGCATCTTGGTTCTGGTAGGTTTGGGCTGCTGCTTTACTACATGTCATTTTATCAGTGGGGTCTTTGTGACCTGTACCTTGCAAACCAGTCCTGAAGAACTCTTGTCTCATCACTATGTTGCCCAGGCTGGTCTCAAACTCCTGGCTTCAAGTGATCCTCTCACCTCAGCCTCCCAAAATGCTGAGCTTACAGGCTTGAGACACTGAGCCAGGCCCTGTTTATTCTTGAATTGTTTCCAGTGAATATATCTCATCATCCCCCCCTCCCCCACAAAAAAAGATGGCACGTTTTTATAAAAAGATAAAAATCATTCTTAGTATTTCTTTAATACCCTCTACATTGACCACACTGGTGCAAAAAATATTAGTTTGTTAGTGAAAATTCACCTTGAGTTACTAAATCTCTAACTTTCCCATAACTACCATGTTTGTCTCTTGTGGATCTGTTTGCCTAATATTAAAATGACCCATTCTTCCCCACTTTTACGAAAATAGTGTTAATTCCCCTTTCATTATTCATACTTCCTTCATCGTCACAGTTTGACAGCGGTCCAGGGTTTATGATCTCAAGTGTGGCCATACATATCTATTTCACTTAAGACTCTGGATAGAACATAAAATCAGAAGTAAGTGTTTCCCACTTCATATAATAGGGAATTCCATCTCTAAACTTATGACATTTGGCCTTTCAGTGGGTTTTTGTGGTTTTTACGATGGCTGTGGTTAGATTCCGTTTTGAACACTTTCCCAGTGGTTCCACTTGAATACAATCTTTGAGTCACGTAGGAGAGGTGACATGATATAGTGTAAAGCCAGAAAGAGCACGATTTGGATCTCAGCTCAACTGACAGGGATCCCTAGCAAGATACTTCACCTCTCTGAGCCTCAGTTTCCTCATCTGTGCAATGGGAATCATAACACCTGCCTCTCAGTGTTGTTAAGATTAAATATGTGGGCCCGGCGCAGTGGCTCAAGCCTGTAATCCCAGCACTTTGGAAGGCCGAGGAGGGCGGACCACCTGAGGCCAGGAGCTCGAGACCAACATGGCGAAACCCGTGTGTCTACTAACAATACAAAAATTAGCCGGGCGTGCTGGTGCAAGCCTGTAATCCCAGAAAGTCAGGAGGCTGAGACAGGAGAATCGCTTGAACCCAGGAGGCGGAGGTTGCAGTGAGCCAAGATCGCACCACTGCACTCTAGCCTGGGTAACAGAGTGAAACTCTGTCTCAAAAAAAAAAAAAAAAAAAAAAGATTAAATATGGGTACAGTACCTGTACCATGGTAGGTGGTCAGTAAACATTTGTTCAACTAACAACAACTGATAAGGAGAGTAAAGTATCAGAACACCCACCTAGTTATCCCAAAGGGCAGGAAGAGTGCTAGGTAATGGATACAGAATTCCTTTTAGAGTCAAATTACACGGGCAAAGATCAGCCCCTCCTTCAATTAAAGAGCCAGGGGCAGGGCTTAATAAGGAAGTGGTTCTCCTTCTTTAAGCCTCTTTTCAGCCTGAGTCCTAAACCTGAAGAAGCTACAGCCTGGAGCGCTAAACTTCATGAATCTTTCCAAACGACAAGCCAAGAAGACCTGTTGAAAGTTTCCTCTTGAGTTTCGTGGAGAGAATCTCAGGTCTAGAAATATCCTTACTGCCACCTGACCTGAAGCAGAAGAAATCACTGACAGCTTCCAGACCAGGTAACACCAGGAGGCACCAGTCTTCATTCTCAGCCTTCGCAGGAGGACACAGCCCAGTCTTTAGCTGTTTGCCAAATGAGGCGGTCTAATTTGGGGAGCTCTTTACTGGGTTTATTACAAAGTCCTTATCACGTAAGTCTCCGGACACAAAATGACATTGAGAATCTAGTTTATAGGGGTTTCCAGGAAACAGAAAGAAAGGTTATTAGGTTTCTCTTTCATTTCTCTTTTGCTACAAAGAGTTTGGGACGACAATTCAGTTAAGAACACATTACTGCTTGAGCCACGTGACGTTACTCAGTCCTCTCTGCTTATGTATCCGGGGAGGTATGCAATGACATGACAGCCTTTCCATGGCCAGGGACACCATTGCCCAAGCTGGAGACCACGGGGATGTGGGGACTGGAGCCAGCGTGGGAATTCCTGGTTTGAGATCAGAGTCCTGAGTACCTTGTGGGAACTTGGGCACTCATCCACAGGAGGTCTAGACCCCCAGAGAATTCCTTGAGTCTAAGGCACAGGTAAATGGAAGACCCTTCTCTCTCCCCTCCGGAAAGCTCCCTCCTCCCTGAGCTCCCTGCCCCGTTCTTTCCACAGTCAGAGCCTTGGACCTTCTGTTTGGTGAATATGACCTGAGGCTCTGTCTAGCGTTCAGCTTCTGTGGTGGGAAGTTAAGGCACTTTCTCTCACTCCTCATTTCACCTTTAGTATTAAAGAACAGTCCCAGCCGGGCGCGGTGGCTCACGCCCAGCACTTTGGGAGGCCAAGGCGGGCGGATCACGAGGTCAGGAGATCGAGACCAACCTGGCTAACAAGGTGAAACCCCGTCTCTACTAAAAAATGCAAAAAACTAGCCGGGCGAGGTGGCGGGCGCCTGTAGTCCCAGCTACTCGGGAGGCAGAGCAGGAGAATGGCATGAACCTGGGAGGCAGAGCTTGCAGTGAGCCGAGATCGCGCCACTGCACTCCGGCCTGGGCGACAGAACGAGACTCCGTATCAAAAAAAAAAAAAAAAAAAAAAACCGTCCAGGCAGAAGGCACGAAGACCTTGAGAGGTCTGAAGTGAGGGGGAGAGGAGAAAGGCAGAAGGGGAGGCTCCAGACAATAGAACCAAGCTGAGCTTAAGATGTGCTGTGGGAGGCTCCGTGGGGATGAGTGTCAGCGCCCACGAGATCCACTTAGGCCTCAACTGTGTGTCCTGAGCACATGAAGTCAGCTCTTCTGCTGGGACAGCCGCCAAGGGGTTCTCCACACCCCTTACCACTGGGACAGGCAGAGGCACAGCGAACCAGGTGTCCAGCGTAACTGGGGCACTAGGTGGTGGCCGCCTCTGTGTGCCGAAACACGAGGTGCTTGCTACAGTTTCCTCTGTGTGCTCATCCATCATTAGCTGCCACCCCCGGGAGGGAAGTGAAATCTGACCTCAACAAGTGAGTCCGCAGAGCGAGAACCCTGCGACAGTGCATCTGCCAATACCTGGAATGTAGGTGCTTGTTGCAGCGTGGCCTTCCCAGCCGGCCTCTCAGCACATCCGGCCAGGCAGCCAGTGTTCCCAAAGGACTCGCTGGTGCCAGACGTGGAGGACCCTGGCCACCTCGGGGAGGGAAAGAGGCCAAGAAAAGAACCTGAACCTCTGTAGCCTTGCTTCTGAGAGTGCAGGTTTGTTATCGATAAGGAGCAGGAAGGTAAACAGGGCAGTGAGGCGGGGTTGTGTGCTCTGCGGCCCTGAATTAGAATAAGCCTCACGGGTTTCACTCCCCTCCAGGTTCTGAACCAGCACTCAGGGGCCCTACCCAGGGCTTCTATCACCATAAGCATAAAACTTATGGTTTATATTTCCATAAACCCCAAAGTTGGGCTTCTTGGATAAAGTACAATTTCTGTAGGAACAGCTGAAACCAGAAGGGATCTAACCTGTGATAATACTCGATCGCTGCTGCTTGAAAGTAAGACCTAGCTGTAAACTGAACAAGTAATTTATAACGAGGATTAGAAAAAACAAAAATTCTATGTTTGTGTGGGTGGGTTTTTTGTTTTTCTTTATTTTTGTTTTTTGAGAGAGTGTCTCCCTCTGCCACCCAGGCTGGAGTACACCGGGTGTACAGTCCGGGCAGCCGGCACGAAGACCCTGAGAGGTCTGAAGTGAGGGGGAGAGGAGAAGGGCAGAAGGGGAGGCTCCAGACAACAGATCATATGGCACCATCATAGCTCACTGCAGCCTCTGGCTCCCAGGCTCAAGTGATTCTCTCTGCTCAGCCTCCCAAGTGGCAGGGACTGCAGGTGCACACCACCACGCCCAGCTAATTTTTTTTCATTTTTTGTAGAGACAGAGCCAAGGCTGGTCTTGAACTCCTGGGCTTAAGTGATCCTGCCCCTGGGCCTCCCAAAGTGCTGGGATTACAGGCGTGAGCCACTGGGTCCGGCATCTGCATTTGTTAAATACATTTAAACCCCCTTAACCCTTTTGTCTCCATTTGTTCTCTTTTGCTCCCTGCTCTCCAGGCTCTTATGGCAGTGGCCCCCACCCTCCCTGCGCTGTAGGGTAGCCTCCTTCTGGGGCCGGCTCCTAAGCACTGTTCTTTCTGCCTCTCTCTCATCCTCTTTCATCCTTAGCTTTGCCTGTCGGCGGGGCCAAGTCACAGCCTTTCTAGCCTGTAAGACAACAAAAATCTCACATTTTACGGAATGGAAGGACTAAGTACTCCATCTTGACCTCAGTGGTTTCCACGATTTCTGATGTTGCCGCTGAAACAGCATTAGCAAACTTGTTTCTTAAAGAAGCTCTCTCTCCAACAACACCCCTCTCACACACACACATATACAGGCACACACACACACACAATTTTAAAGCCCTCGCATTACATTCAAAAGGTCTGGATTGTTTCTAATGTACATGGAGATTTCTTCAGGAGCACAGCATTACTGGCTTGACGAGGGGGCACAGCCTCCTACCCAAGGACACAGTTCCTGAAGGACCAGGGTACACATCCTTCCTACAGTACCCTGAGCCTCTCAGTCCAAAAGGAAGCCTTGAATCAAAAGCCTCACGAATCCTCTCTTGAGAAATTCCATATCCGGTCTCTTGCTAGACTCCGCCTTTTCCCCACCAAGTCTGCCGTCCCTAATTCTGACCACAGACCCTGCCAGAGCCTCACCCGGCTTGGTGACCCGCTTTGCTGCTTGCACACACCTCAGGTCTCAGTGTATCTCAGCAACACCTTCCACTCCTAGGAGGAGCCAGAGTTAGCAAGCAAAAATGCAAGACAGCCAGTTACGTTTGAATGTCAGATAAACAACAAATATGAGTGGTTTTTAGCATATAATATTTATTGGGGACATATACTAATATTTATGATATATGAGTCTCATGATATTTGGGACATATACTAAAAAATTATTTGCTCTTTATCTGAACTTCAAATGTGACCGGACGTGTCCTGTATTCTGAATGTGTCTGGCAGTCCTATAATCAATCATCTGGTCAGTCATCGGATATCTGAGCACCTACCATGTGTCAAGCGCTACTCTAGAGAACCCGGGTAGCCCAGTCAGTACAGCATCAAGCACTACTCTAGGTGCTGGGGAAGCCAGCCAAAGTCCCGCCTTCGTATCTTACAGTATGTCTACTTTGTTTTTATATACATATATACTATATATACTTGCAGATATGTACCTTTTTATTTATTTTCTTTATTATTATTATTATTATTTTGAGATGGAGTCTGACTCTGTTACTCAGTGCAATGGTACCATCTCAGCTAACTGCAACCTCTACCTCCTGGGTTCAAGAGATTCTCCAGCCTCAGCCTCCCAAGTAGCTGGGATTACAGGCATGTGCCACCACACCTGGCTAATTTTTATATTTTTAGTAGAGACGGGGTTTCACCATGTTGGCCAGGCTGGTCTTGAACTCCTGACCTCAAGTGATCTGCCCACCTCGGCCTCCCAAAGTGCTAGGATTACAGGCGTGAGCCACTGCACCCAGCCCAGATATGTACTTTTTAATGGCAGTGTTACCACATTTAATGAGATTATCTTTTTAAAAAATATTTATAATATTAAATTTTAAAAAAGAGGGATGGGATCTTACTTTGTTGCCTAGGCTGGTCTCCAAATCCAGGCGTCAAGTGATCCTCCCACCTTGGCCTCCTAAGGTGGTGGGATTACAGGTGTGAGCCACGGTGCCAGCCAAGATGATCAATACTTCCTTAATATCATCTAAAATATACACCATGTTTAGTTCTCTATCATCTCAAAGATATCTACGTCTTCATACAGTAAGTATGTTTGAATTAAGATTTAATAAAGATCCACTCATGACATCTAATTGACCTGTCCTTTTATATATATATATGTTTCTTTTTTCTTTTTATTTATTTATTTATTTTTGAGACGGAGTCTCCCTTTGTCACCCAGGCTGGAGTGCAACGGCACAATCCCCGCTCACTGGAACCTTTGCCTCCCGGGTTCAAGTGATTCTTCTGCCCCAGACTCCCAACTACAGGCACCCGTCATCATGCCCAGCTAATTTTTGTGTTTTTTTAGAGATGGGGTTTCACCATGTTGGCTAGGCTGGTCTTGAACTCCTGCCTCCCAAAGTGCTGGGATTACAGGCATGAACCATCGTGCCCTGCCTGACATGTTTCTTTTCTTTCTTTTTTCTTTTTTTGAGATAGAGTTTCACTCTTGTTGCCCAGGCTGGAATACAATGGCACAATCTCGGCTCACCGCAACCTCCGCCTCCCAGGTTCAAGTGATTCTCCTGCCTCAGCCTCCCGAGTAGCTGGGATTACAGGCATGCGCCACCATGCCTGGCTAATTTTGTATTTTTAGTAGAGACGGCGTTTCTCCACGTTGGTCAGGCTGGTCTCAAACTCTCGACCTCTGGTGATCCACCCGCCTTGGCCTCCCAAAGTGCTGGGATTACAGGCGTGAGCCACTGTGCCCTGTCGGATATGTTTCTTACGTCTCTTTTAAGCTGTAGCAGTTCTCTGTCTTCACCTCTTTTTGGTGCTATTTACTTGTTGAAGAAACTGGCCATTTGTCTTGCAGAATTTACCACATACTGAATTTGGATAGCTGCCTTCTTGTGGTCGTTAGCTTATTTCTCTGTCCCCTGAATTTCCTGTAAACTGATCATTAGATCCAGAGGTTTGATCAGATTCGGATCCAGTGTTTTTGGATCAGGAGACACATAATGGTTGTCTCATCTTTAGTGAGACCAATATTGGTCATTGGGAACAGAGAAGTGGAGCTGGGGTGAGTATAGGGTCACCAGATGTCCCTTACAGGCAGAATGGACAGGGCTGTGCTGCGGGGATGGATGAGGGGAGGGTGGGATGACTGGAAAATGCATGGGGGAGGGTGGGCTTGGATGGAATTGGGGAGCAGGAAGGGGTAAGTGGAAAAGCAGGAAGGAACATGACCTTTGAGGAGACATTGACGTGACTCCCAACAGAGCAAACGGTTTGCATGTGAGTGAAATGCATGTAAGTGAATGTGAAATTGGAGCAGTGGCGGGAAGAAAGATTGTCCAAGCCCTGGAATAAGACAGGAATGTGAAGAAACAGCAGAGGGGGAGGAAGGATGGCGTCATGACCCCCACTTCATGCCATACTCCTCAAGCATTTGCTTACATTCAGTTATGTGAGGGGGGTTCATGGGGCTTGGAGGTTGTGTAATTGTGTCTGTGTAGTTGGTCTGGCGGGTTTTGCAACTTGCCCTTTGCTACACTGGGAGAGCCATTTCTGTCCCCTCCCTCGTCACCTGATGTTGTGGTGTAGCCCCCTGCATCCCTCCCAGACTCACTTCCATCAGCACGCACCTAGCCAGGGACCCTTGCTTCCCTGGGGCCTGGCCAAGGGTCAGTTCCTCAGATAAACGGCTTCGCTATTGGCCAGTATGAGCCTCTTCTAAGTAAAGGGGAGGATACAGTGATGGAAACAGGCAGCATCCAGCAGGCCCTTAGGGGAGATATTTCAGCTCCTACACCTCCTTCTAATAGCAGAGCCAGGGGGAAAAGTTAGAGAATATCCTCCTTCTATCAATAATGTGGACACCGAGGGACAAAAAGATGGAGTGACTTGCCCAAGGATGTTGCAAGTTAGAAGCTGAGCCAGTCCTGGCCATCCGTCCTTCAGACACCCAGGTCAATTTGTCTGTACCGCCTCACACTGCCTCAAACCCTGTCTCCAGTTACTGTCCCATTTCTTTATAATTTGGTCCTGGTATGACAGGGTATGGTGGAAAGAAAAAGAAAAACATGCCAGCCAATCCCCTTAATATCGCTGCAGCTTCTTTACCATCACACCAGCTTACATGCCGAAAGACGGTCTTGAATTAGGACCAGGAACGGAAGGGAACGTGATTAAGAGCCATATTAAGACAAAGCCTGAGGCCGGGCATGGTGGCTCATGGCTGTAATCCCAGCACTTTGTGAGGCTGGGGCAGGTGGATCACTTGAATCCCAGCACTTTGGGAGGCTGGGGCAGGTGGATCACTTGAGCCCAGGAGTTTCACACCAGCCTGGGCAACAGAGCGAGACCTCGTCTCTAAAAAACAAAAAAATTAACCAGGTGTGGTGGCGTGTGCCTGTGGTCCTAGCTACTTAAGAGGCTGAGGTGAGAGAAACCCTTGAGCCAGGGAGGTTGAGGCTGTGGTGAGCTATGATCTGCACTCCAGCCTGGGCCACAGAGCAAAATTGAGTCTCAAAAAAAAAAAGAGCCTGAGGGCCAAGGACAACAGCTGAACTAGAAAAAAACGTAACTACCACTTTTGAGCCAGGTTCTGTGCAGGGACTTCTCTTGTGTACCTTACACCGTCACAATATCTGTGCAAGGTGACTATTATTTTTTGCAATTTGCCTATAGGAAGTTAATGTTTGGAGAGGTGGAGTAACCTGCCACATGTCACAAAACTAGTCATTGGCATGGCCACAATCTGAATTTGGGACTATTAGACTGAGAAACCCATGCTAATTCTTGATACACTCACTGCCTGGGACATTTCACACAGTAGATCTGGGCTTTCTCGCATCTGAGACAAAAAGGAAAATGTAGTCCTGAGCAGACAGCAGAAGGAAACAGATTATTAGCAAAAAGAACTGCTTTCCTAGCAGGAAACCCAGAGAAGGAGTTATATCATGTAAGCTTAAGCCAAGGAAATTGAACAAAATCAGTTCTTTATCTATCCTGTTATTCGTATGGAAATAAAGACAAAATGCTTGCATCCTGTTGTTTTAGTGCTTGTATACTGATCTTTTTAAAATATGCCTGTGATCACATCACTCTCTACTAAAAACGTTGAACAGCTCTCCATTGCCTCCATCAGTGTGTTTCAAATTCGTAAAAAGTAAAATAAAATAACAGGATGCTTTTTTCAGATGAAATCTTACATGGCATACCAAATATAGCAAGGAAAAAGAAAGACAGAGAGAGGGGAGAGAGAAGCCTGGACAAGCTAAAGCAGAGGGTAGAGGGAGAAGGAACCGAGGAAGGGAAGGGTCAGGTCCCAGGCATTTCTCTTCCCTGAGTTGGCCTCCCTCTTTTGCCACCTCCCCAGCAAGATCTTTAACTCCACAGTCCACAGCTCCTTTTGAAACATGCTGATCAACGTGAGAAAAGGCGAAGCTTCAGCCTGATAGTCGAAGACCACCATAATCTGGACGCAAGTGCTAGTTCACTTATTTTCCCTCCACTCTTTTCAAGCCCTGGCTATTTGCAAACTGCTTACGTATGCTGTCGCAGTTCTCTCACCACTCTTCAAACACACTCTGAATTCACCTATAATCTCCCCTCTGTCCACCCTGTTCTAGCCCCAATATCCACCCACCCGTCTAACTCCTTCTAACTTTCCAAAAGCTTTCACTTGCCTCTTTCTTTGAAGCTCACCTATCCCTGCCCTCTCACCTGGCTTTCTGCATCTCTGTTAGACCTCTTACTTAGTTCATTAGTTCATTCTCTTTTTTTTTTTTTTTTTTTTTGAGATGGAGTTTCGCTTTGTCGCCAGGCTAGAGTACAGTGGCGCAATCTCGGCTCACTACAACCCCCGACTCCTAGGTTCAAGCGATTCTTCTGCCTCAGCCTCCCAAGTAGCTGGGTCCATAGGCATGTGCCACCATGCCTGGCTAATTTTTGTATCTTTAGTAGAGATGGGGTTTCGCTGTATAGGCCAGGCTGGTCTTGAACTCCTGACCTCGTGGTTCACCCGCCGTGGCCTCCTAAAGTGTTGGCATTACAGGCATGAGCCACCACACCCGGTAGTTCATCTTCTTTGTGTGGAGTTATCTATGGCCTTGTCTCTCTTCCCACCCCAGTAAGACTGTGACTTTTCCCTCTCTACCCTCCAGCACAAACACGTTCAATAAATGTTTACTGAGTTTTCACCCCTGTCACTCCTAACCTGCAAAGAGTAAATGGCCCTGCATAGAAGGACATGGTGTGGACTTTGTTGTTACAGGCCCAACATGTGTAGCACCAGTGCGTGTGACCTGGAAGAAATCCCCCTAGATGATGATGACCTAAACACCATAGAATTCAAAATCCTCGCCTACTACGCCAGACACCACGTCTTCAAGAGCACCCCCGCTCTCTTCTCGCCAAAGCTGCTGAGAACAAGAAGTTTGTCGCAGAGGGGCCTGGGGAATTGGTCAGCAAATGAGTCATGGACACAGGTGTCATGGCCTTGCAGAAATTCCCAATCCAGTGAGAAGGCCATCAACCTTGGCAAGAAAAAGTCTTCTTGGAAAGCACTCTTTGGAGTAGTGGAGAAGGAAGATTCGCAGAGCTCGCCTGCCAAGCTCTCTGCTCAGGGTCAAAGGACATTGGAATACCAAGGTTCGCACAGCCAGCAGTGGTCCAGGTCTCTTTCCAGCGTGGAGCAGTGCTTGGAGCATGAAGGTAGGCATCTGGGATTTATTTCTCTCCTGCATCCTCGTTTTTCCCTTCTTTGCGTCCAGGGTGGTACATCTCTTCTCATCTTGTAAAGTGGCTTTAGAGAGGGCATGCATTATATCTCAGCTTTCCAACTTATTAGTGTTCAATCCTAATTGCCCTGCTTTTCTCAAGACTAAAAGGAGAATGATGGAACTTAAGGGTGATGGGACTGGTTTTCTTTCTTCACGGTCTATAAATAAGCTTGTCTCCCAAATTCCTAATCCTCTGTACTAGATACTCATATAAAAGAAGGAGGCCAGGCACAGTGACTCACGCCTGTAATCCCAGCACTTTGGGAGGTTGAGGTGGGCAGATCACGAGGTCAGGAGTTCGAGACTAGCCTGACCAACATGGTGAAACCCCGTCTCTACTAAAGATACAAAAAATTAGCCGGGCATGGTGGCGCGTGCTTGTATTCCCAGCTACTCAGGAGGCTGGGGCAAAAGAATCGCTTGAACCTAGGAGGCGGAGGTTGCAGTGAGCCAAGATTGCACCACCGCACTCCAGCCTGGGCTACAGGGTGAGACTCCGTCTCAAAAAAAAAAAAAAAAAAAAATGGAGGAGCCCTAACCAGGGGCTTGCTTGGGCTGCCTGGGCCGCTGCTCTTTCTAAGTCAACTCATTCGCTCAGGGCCTCTGTGTTTCCATCTGTACATTGGGTATCCCACTCTCTCCACCTCGTATGGTTGATGGGAAGATCAGAGAGCAAGAGTAAAAGGACTCCCGACAAAGTACCAACCATCCTACAAAAACAACTGAGAAGCATTTTGACAAAATCTTCCCTCGGTTGGACAAAATTAATTGTACTGAATGAAACATTTTCACCAGGCGCTGAGGCTCATACCTGTAATCCCAGCACTTTGGGAGGCCAAGGTGGAGGGATCACTTGAGCTCAGGAGTTCAAGACCAGCCTTAGCAACATGGCAAAACCCTGTCTCTACCAAAAAATATGAAAAAATGAGTCACACACGGTGGTGCAAGCCTGTGGTCCCAGCTACTCAGAAGGCTGAGGTGGGAGGATGGCTTGAGCCTGGGAAGCAGAGGTTGCAGTGAGCCAAGATGGTGCCACTGCACTCCTGCTTGGGTGACAGAGTGAGAGCCCATCATGTCTATAATCTCAGCACTGTGGGAAGCCAAGGCAGGAGGATCACTTGACGCCAAGAGTTTGAGATCAGCCTGGCATCATAGCAAGGCCCTGTCTCCATAAAAAATTTAAAAAATTAGCCAGGCACGGTGGCACATGCCTGTTGTCCCAGATACTATGGAGGCTGAGGTGGGAGGATCACTTGAGCTCAGGAGGTCAAGGCTGCAGTGAGCCAAGATCACATCACTGCACCCCGGCTCTGGGTGACGTAATGAGACTGTGTCTCAAAAAAAAAGACAGTTGCCCTTCATGTGCATACCTTGGCATAAGCATCTTCTTCTCCTTCAACAAAGCCCAGTGCCCGAAGCCCAGATTTTTTTTTTTTTTTTTTTTTTCAGATGGAGTCTTGCTCTGTCACCCAGGCTGGAGCGCAGTGGTGCAATCTTGGCTCACCGCAACCTCCGCCTCCCAGATTCAAGCAATTCCCCTGCCTCAGCCTCCTGAGTAGCTGGGACTACAGGCATGCGCCACCACGCCCGGCTAATTTTTCTATTTTTAGTAGAGACAGTAGATACAGGGTTTCACCATGTTGGTCAGGCTGGTCTCGAACTCCTGACCACGTGATCTGCCCGCCTTGGCCTCCCAAAATGCTGGGATTACAGGTGTGAGCCACCGGGCCGACTGCGAAACTCAGATTTTAAAAGAAAGGCCCCCTCCTGCTGGGTTTCATTGGCCTGGGTAACTTGTCAATATGTAGTCAAGAGGTGGCAGTAATGTCTCAGTTTTTAAATGTGACAGTCCTGGCTTGCTTGGAGAATCAGCCCACTCATAGGCAGCTTTAGATCATCCACTACGATCAAGGAAACTCCCATTTCCCATTAGAGTTTCAGATGTTGAGAACAGCGGGAGTTATGGTCAGATCATCTGGGGGAACCTTATGGCACAGACAGGATGAGGACACGAGAGTCCCACAAAACGGGCTTACCAAGGAAACAGCCAGGAAGTAGCAGAGCCTGGACTCACTGGAAGTCCAGGCCTCTCCCTGGACTTGTTTAACTTTCACAGCAAGGCCTCTGCTCTCTGAACTCTGCCCAGCTAAGGCAGGTCTAGAGCAAGAGGGAGTGGCCCCCTGGGGTGCTCCCCTCCACACCTGCCTCCCCACCCCTCAGCCACCCTCGCCCAGCCACAGCTCCTTCTGCCGGGGGTGGCATCTGGGCTCTGGGGCAAAGAACAGTTTGGAGGCACCGAAATGGCCTTTTCTACTTGGCCTGTACTGTGGACTTTGCCAGCAGACAGAGAAAGCTTTTACAGACTTTCAGCTTCCGATTTTTCCTGAGATAAACTGCATTCTGTATTTCAGTATTTACTGGAGTGTCATTTGACATTTTTTTATTTTCTAAAATTTCAAGAGAAGCTTTTCTTTCTTTTTTCAGTAGGGAAAGAAAACTTCTGTGTGAGATTGAGAATTAAAGATTAAATTCAGAAACACTCAGGTGATGTGTTCATGTGCTGAATAGTACCTATGGCTGAATAATGTTCTCCATACAAAATGAAAACTGATGACTTCCTAAGAAGGCTTTCAACACATCTGTACAGCTTATCTTCCCGTCTCACTTTTCTCCTCGCTTTTGCATTCAGTCAGTTAATTACGTGTTTTTTACTTGTGATACTTGTGTTGGTTTTACACTGGGCGTGATCCAAAAGAGCCTCACATTCTATTTCTATTTTGCCACATACAAATCAGGCCTTACAAATTGGATTTCTCCTGGGTTCTTTTTTGTTTATTTTTGTTTGTTTGTTGTTGAGACGGAGCCTCGCTCTGTCGCTCAGGCTGGAGTGCGGTGGCCCGACATCGGCTCACTGCAAGCTCCGCCTCCCGGGTTCACGCTATTCTCCTGCCTCAGCCTCCCGAGTAGCTGTGACTACAGGCTCCCGACAACCACGCCTGGCTAATTTTTTGTATTTTTAGTAGAGATGGGGTTTCACCTGTTAGCCAGGATGGTCTCCATCTCCTGACCTCATGATCTGCCCGCCTCAGCCTCCCAAAGTGCTGGGATTACAGGCGTGAGCCACCACGCCCGACCTCACCTGGGTTATTTTAACTGAAGGTCACTATGTAGCCTTGTGCAGCCACTGCCAGGCCTCAGTACCAGGCTTACGTGGGAAGTGTGAGATTATGTCCCAAGACCAAATTATGTTAGGAAGAGGCCTCAGGATGTAGAGAAATGGACATCAACACTAGTTTTAAAGACTGCCACCCCAGGCTCTTTTACTTGTGAACCTTTTGTTTCTCCATAGCTATGATTTGCTCATGTGGAACGTCATAGTTAAGGTGAGGTTTGGCAACATACAATGGCACACCCAAATACCCATGGCTTAAATAATATACAGGTTTGCTTTTCTCTCCCTTACAAGAGGACAAAAGTTTGGCAGCTCAGGCCTGATATGACAGCTTCACAAAGTTATTAAGAATTCCTGGGAATGGCCAGGCAAGGTGGCTCATGCCTGTAATCCCAGCACTTTGGTAGTCTGAGGTGGGTGGATCACTTGAGCCAAACAGTTTGAGACCAGCCTGGGCAACATGACAAAATCCTGTCTTTCTAAAAAAAAAAAATACAAAAATTGCGCCTATAGTCTCAGCTACTCGAGAGGCTAAAGGAGGAGAATCACTTGAGCCTGGGAGGCAGAGGTTGCAGTGAGCTGAGACCGCACTATTGCACTCCAGCTTGGGTGACAGGGGTGAAAACAAGAATTCCTGGGAATTCTGCCATCTCTCAGCTAGTGGCTTCCACCTCAAAGTCACCTTATATTCTAAAGGTGGCTGTTGGGGCTTCACCCATCATGTCTACATCTCAGGCAGGAATAAAAAGGAAGCAAAGGAAGGGCAAAGGGTGCCTTCTTTCTAGGTAATTCAGCTCCCTTTTGTTTTATTATTATTATTATTTTATCTTTTGTAAAGATGGGGTCTGTGTTACCCAGGCTGGTCTCGAACTCCTGGCCTGAAATGGTAACCTTGCCTTGGCCTCCCAAAAGCCTGGGATTACAGGCGTGAGCCACTGCACCCAGCCTCAGTTCCCTTTTAGAGAGCTTTCTTGAAACTGCTCCCAGCTTCTGACATCTCATTGGCCCTTCCCTACTGCAAGGGAGCCCGGGGAATATAGTTTGTTCAGCTGGGTTCACAGCTGCCCCTCACATTTTAGGGGTCTGTTACTAAGGAAGAAGAAGAAAGTGGATACTGAGTGGGAAAGAACAGTCCATAAGGAAGTCACACCCCAAACCCCTGCCCTTTCTCTTTAAAACAAATGCCTCAGACCACAGGCGAAATGGGACCTTCTGACCCTGTTGGCCTGTTCTTCCTGGTCCCACAATGACCCCCAAACAGACTCCAAAGAACAGACAGCCTTTCTGTCTTCTCCCCACCCCATCCAATGTTCCCTCGCCTGTCAGACAGGACCAAGTCTGACAAGAATAGAATCTTTTCTTTTTCATGTTTTAAAATGAAAATATCCAAGATGGGAATTTTAACTAGAGCTAGTGAATCTGTGGGAACATGTTTGCTTATAGTTTCTCCTGGACATGTCTCACTCCATGTCCACAAACCCATAGAAAATCAATACCCTGCTGTAATCCCAGCACTTTGGGAGGCTGAGGCGGGAGAATCACCTGAGGTCAAGAGTTCAAGACCAGCCTGGCCAACATGGCAAAACCCTGTCTCTCTACTGAAAAAATACAAAAATTAGCTGGGCGTGGTGGCGGGCGCCTATAATCCCAGCTACTCAGGAGACTGAGGAAGGGAGAATGGCTTGAACCCAGAAGGCGGAGGTTGCAGTGAGCCGAGATCACGCCACTGCACTCCAGCCTGGGCAACAGAGTGAGACTCTGTCTTGGAAGAAAAAAATAATCAATACCCTGTACACAGTTAGCCAGATTGGGTAATTTTGTACCTGTTGGTGATCTTGTGGCTGCCCTGCCTTATGAGGGGACGAGGGGACAGAGCCTTTGAGACCCTTCATGGACCTTCTTAATGTGCAAGATGGGCACAGGGTGCTTTCCGGTGGTAGAACCACATGCTGATCACCCTACATGAGCTGCACAAGGTTGTAAAGGCAGCAGAGGCCTGCTTTCCTTCATCATCTCCTGAGGACACGGGCCAGGGAAGGTTCCCTCGGTTTTGGAAGCCAGCCTCTTGCCATTTCTTTCTTTGCCAGGGGCCATGGGGGGCCGGAGATCCAGCGGAGGCTGGCTGGGCTGCAATAAGGGGATGACAAAGTGGAAAGTCTGTTTTGCTTGGTTCTTAAAATGAGGAGGAAAGACATCGATCCTTTTCTTCTTGACCTTTCTTCTCTCTGTCATTCGCATCTTATCGGTCTTTGAACCCTGTAGACTAACCATGAAAAAGATGGCTTTAGGAGTCAGATGTCCACCAGAGGATGGCATCATGGACAGAGCATTATCTTCTGTGGCCTTTCCGTGAATGGCTGGAGGGCTGAAGAGAGGACACTGACGCCTTCAGCTGTGGAGGAATCCAGGGAGAGGGATCAGGAGCCACCTTGGCAGCTCCGTATGATGTCAAAACCTGTTTCTCTTGTGTCTCAGTCCCTCCCAGGCCCTCTACTTGCCTCTCTTACCTACTGGGCTGTACAAAGCCCAGGAGTGCCCTAGGAGTTTGAGCACACCAACCTTCTGTCCAAAACGCCACTCCATTACTGTCTTCAAGTCCTGTGAATTACCTAGTATTATTCTTCAAATGTTACATGGTAAAACCCAGCTGCTCCACACGGCATCCAAGACAGATTGTACAAGTTTTTAAACGTTTAGAAGTTAGATTGGGTGTGGTGGTGGCTCATCCTTGTAATCCTAGCACTTTGGGAGCTAGGACGTGGGAGGATTGCTTGAGCTTAGGAATTCAAGACCCACCTGGGTGACATAGGGAGACCCCATCTCCAGAAAAAGAATTTCAATAAATTAGCCAGATGGGGTGATGCACACCTGTCATCCCAGCTACTCAGGAGGCTGAGATGGGAGAATCGCTTGAGCCTGAGAAGTCCAAGCTGCAGTGAGCTGTGATCACACCACTGCACTCCAGCCTGGGTGACAGTGAGACTCTGTCTGGAAAAAAGTAAATAAACAAATAAAAGGTTAGAACTTAGTGACAAATCAACAGTGAAAATTTTACTACCCAGCAACTCAGCCGTGCCATTTGCCCACCCCACCTCCCCTTGTCCCCGTTCAGGGGCAAAGGCAACTGGTCTTTTATAGGCTACGACATTCAACGGGCCAATGCCATTTCACCGTCCTATCTCAAAGTGCTTTATTCTACAATCCTGTGTGCAAATACATGACGTAACTCTTTTCTCGGGTTGTAAATTATTGAAGGCCATAAGTTGTGCTGACTGCATCCTTGTTTACCTATAAGCATTAATTGAATGTTTTCCAGTAGACATGGAGGGGAGAGAAAAGGCAGGACTGTACCAGCGATGGGAAGTAGGTTCACTTGATAATGGACTTGGATGATGAATCTCATTGCCCTGAGAGCAGGGATATTTCTTTCCTCAGTGACCAACCCCCAGATGCTTGTCAAACTATTGAATGTCCTCCTATGCACGTAGGGGCTGGCTCTTAGAGGTATAAAGCGTGTCGAGAAAAAAGAATAAAAATAAAAGCATAATGAGCATGCCTTGAAGTAAAGAGCTAAGCACTCCTTTTTGTGTTTCTTCCCTTGCAAAGGGGAAAGGAGACCCTAATTTTGCAAGACTTCAAAAAGAGTGTGCAGCAGGCCAATTGTTTCAAGGTGACAATCATTCCTGCGTGCACCCCTCCCACATGCCGGCCTCAGCCAGGCAACTTTCAGTCCTTTCTGAAGAACGACTCTCCCCCAGCACACATACTCCCAGGCAGTTTCCTTCTCTTCTGGGCTGGTCTTTTCATTCCGGCAAACTTTGCATACCAATGAGCCAGATGAAGTTCTGGGAAGGGCCTCTCAGCACGATTTTATCTTGTTTCAGCTGTGGACCCCAAAGTCGTTTCCATTGCCAACCGAGTGGCTGAAATTGTTTATTCGTGGCCACCACCACAAGAGACCCAGGCAGGAGGCTTCAAGTCCAAAGAGACTATCGTACGTCAGGGTGGCTCCTCCCAGCTCAAAGACCGCCTGCCTATAGCTTCAAGTTCTAAGAAAGGTAAGCTTTACTTCCCCAGGTGGAGTGTTTGCCAGGCAGGGGCACAGGAGCATTTGTGTATTTATCCATCCCGGCCCTGGCAACTTGACAGTCTCTGCTGCCTGGACTGAGGGCTTGACAGCCACAGGCTGTGGGCAATGAGCTCCAGCTTGAGACACCAGCCCAAGGCAAGGGGGCTGCCCCAGCAGGTTGAACCAACACGCCCAGCTCTTCGCTAAGTCAGAAAGGAAAGTCTCCTACAGAGGGAGAGGAGTAAACACAAAGCCCGCATTCAGTCTTGTCTGTGGCGGGAAATGCAATGTTAGATCTGATCATGTTACCAGTGACCCCAGGCCAATTTGCACCAGCTACAGTTGGAGCGTCAAGCCAGGGATTTATATTATGACATTGCTTTCGGGCGTTGTGAAAAAGCAGGGGGTTGTCAGGCACCAGCTATGGTGCAAGACATGGAGCGGAACTGAGAAGTAGTGACAAGGCTGGGTCAGTTGTCACCCAAACCATAGCAATAGGTGAGACTGTAGATCCCATCAGGCTGGTGGCAACTCCAGGCACTGAGGGGAGAGTGAAGGGGAGCAAGACCAAGTACCACTGGAAGAGAAGCTCTGCCCGGCATTCCCCCACCGCGGTTCTTGCTCCTGGCTCTCTCCACAAACTACCGTGGAGGTTGTGATGATGCAGCCTCATTGTCTGGGATAAATACCTGAGGTTTGTTGTCTCATGCCAAGAGAATCGAGGACACGGACACACACAAGAAGTGGGTTTAGGGGCAGAGGTTTAATAGGCAAAACAAAGAGAAAGGAGAACAGCTCTCTCTCCTGCGACAGAGAGAGGAACCCAAACGTGACTTCCGGCCTGTGACAGAGTGCACCGGATTTTATAGACAGGTTTCAGGAGGTGGTGTCTGATTTACACAGGGCCCAAAGATCAGTTGAACCAGGTGTGATGTTTACATAGCATGGGGGAAGCTGGCCACCCCACCCTAATCTTATTATGCAAATGGGCTTGCCACCTGGCCGGTGCCATGTTGTCTGCTCCCTAGGCACACGTGGTTGGAAAGGAAAAGGGAAAATGCGGCCGCCATGTTGGACATGCCTAGTCCCAGGTGGCCTTTTCCTATTGGCACAGCTGCCAACATTCACTGTGCAAGCTTCTAGCTTGCTTGTCTATGTCTGCAACTCAATTTTACAGGCTACTCTTTGTTAGAAAAGAAAATGATTTGGGGGCTGCTTTTCATTAAAAGGAAAACCTTACCGAGAACTTCCTTACCCTCGCTATCTGCCTAAAAAGTTCCTTTTTAACTCCTCTAACAGTAAGGCCAAGGTGGCTCTTGGGTTTGCAGCACCCTAAAGAACAAGGTGAAGGTTCTCCCTCCAAAGGTATCGGTGTCTCCCAACCCCTGATGCAGAGCAGTAGCCACAGTAAAGGGGCCACAGCTGCCACAGAGACCCAGGGGACCCTGTGAGGAGCTGGAGGAGAGGAGGAGGCCTCTGAGTCAGCTAAAAAGACAGTGTCCACATTTTATTGCTATACCATGTGGACCTGGGAGATGGAATGGTCAACCTAAAGCTAAGATGACCTCATCCTCTGTGCACAGGAGAAATACAGGCAGCTGTGCCAGCAACTTTCCCTAAGAGAGTGTTAACCCAGTATGTCTGAGACAGGTCTCACTCAATTTAGAACTTTTATTTTGGCCAGGCGCAGTGGCTCATGCCTGTAATCCCAGCACTTTGGGAGGCCAAGGAAGGTGGATCACCTGAGGTCAGGAGTTCAAGACCAGCCTGGCCAACATGGTGAAACCCTGTCTCTACTAAAAATACAAAAAAGTTAGCTGGGCGTAGTGGCAGGTGCCTGTAATCCCAACTACTCGGGAGGCTGAGGCAGGAGAATCACTTCAACTTGGGAGGCGGAGGTTGCAGTGAGCTGAGATTACACCACTGCACTCCAGCCTGAGTGACAAGAGTGAAACTCCGTCTCAAAAAAAAAAAAAAAAGTAGAAGAAGAAGATTTATTTTGCCAAGCCTGGGTGCGGTGGCTTACATGGGTAATTCCAGCACTTCGGGAGGCCGAGGCAGTTGGATCTCTTGAGGCCAGAAGTTCAAGACCAGCCTGGCCAACATAGCAAAACCCCATCTCTACTAAAAATACAAAAAATTAGCCGGGCGTGGTGGCACACACCTGTAGTCCCAGCTACTTGGGAGGGTGAAGCAGGAGAATCACTTGAACCCAGGAGGTGGAGGTTGCAGTGAGCCAAGATCGTGCCACTGCACTCCAGCCTGGGTGACAGAGCCAGACTCATGTACTCCACCGCCCCTGTCCCCCCCAACACACACCATACACCAACTGTGGGCACGTTCCTATCCATCTGCCCTTTTAGCCTTGGCCATGGGGGAATTTATTAATTTTACTTACTTATCCCACCTTATTGTCAAGACCCAGCATACAAAGAATAAATTTTAATCAAATAAAATCCATCAATTTGAAAGATATCTTTGTAAAAAGAAAACAAACACAGGAAAATAAGACGGATTTGGGAATTAGGTTAATTTCCAAAATGTAGGCCAGCAAGACAATCCACTCTCTTAGATGCGGGCCACAAATTTGGCTCTATACTTTCTAGCAACTAACCCAAAGAGGGAAATATAATCAAATATGAGATTTATGGTGTCCATAAGATAAAAGCACCATCTGCTGAGGAAAAATCCAAAAACCAGAAGAATATTCCTCCTAAATACCTTCATAGACGGAATCCTGTGCTGTGAAACCGATGTCTTCAACAACAAGCTTAAGGTAACTATAGAGATGAATGTCACAGTGAAAGCTGGGGGACTGAGCAAAGGAAGAAGGGGAAAGAAGGAAAGGAAGGGGCTGCAGGAGAAATCCCTAGTGTGGTTTGTGTCTGGGCAGAAGAGGCGAGGTAAGATTTACTTGGTAAGAATTAGCATGCTTCTTGCCAGGCGCCGTGGCTCATGCCTGTAATTCCAGCACTTTGGGAGGCCGAAGTGGGTGGATCACCTGAGGTCAGGAGTTCGAGACCAGCCTGGCTAACATGGTGAAACCCGATTTCTACTAAAAATAGAAGGCGTGGTGGTACATGCCTGTAATCCCAGCTACTTGGGAGACTGAGGCATGAGAATCACTTGAACCTGGGAGGTGGAGGTTGCAGTGAGGCAAGATCGCACCATCACACTCCAGCTTAGGCAACAAGAGTGAAACTCCGTCTCAGAAAAAAAAAAGAGCATGCCTCTTCCTCTAGCCCTGACCAAGCCACAAGCATTCATGGTCCCTGAAAAAACGTAAGATTATTTTTTGTTTCTCTTAAAAGAAATAACTGGAATTTTCCCCGACAGATGAAGAAGAACAAATAATAGCCAAAATTGTTGAGCTGCTGAAATATTCAGGGGATCAGTTGGAAAGAAAGGTATGGAACACCTTGAACTGATGTGATTGATTTCTGTGCCCATGCACTAGTACACGAGGATGGAATTGTACTCCAGGTTGCAACCTTATTCCTTTTCTTTTTTTTTGAGACGGAGTCTCGCTCTGTCACCCAGGCTGGAGTACAGTGGCACAATCTTGGCTCACTGCAACCTCCACCTCCCAGTTTCAAGCGATTCTCCTGCCACAGCCTCCCGAGTAGCTGGGACTACAGATGCTCGCCACCACGCCCAGCTAATTTTTTGTATTTTTAGTAGAGACAGGGTTTCGTCATATTGGCCTGGTTGGTCTCGAACTCCTGACCTCAGGTGATACACCAGCCTCGGCCTCCCAAAGTGCTGGGATTACAAGCGTGAGCCACTGTGCCTGGCCTACCTTATTCCTTTTCCAAGTCCTGGTTTCTACTTAGTCCTAAATTTTATTTCCCTTGGAGTCAAAATTCTTCATGCTGGTAGAATCTCAAAAATGAGTCACTTTGGAAAACATAAGTAAACCTTCTGGAGCCTCCTTGGAATTTTTGGAAACTGAACAAGGAGCTTGTTATTGCAGGAAAAGACACCAGTAAATTAAAATTTGCTGGATGGAATTATTAATGTCGTTCCCTATGTAACTGATCCTCACTGAAGTTTAGATTCGCGTTTGCTTTGCAGCCTGGATATCTGTGTCCCACGGTTGCTCCAAAGCTGGAATACGTTCTGGAATCTTTTTCCCCTGTAGTTGCTGGACTGTTGTCTGTTTAAGGGCTCTCTTAGCATTTCAGCCAGGGAGGCGTGCTAGTGTTACTGGGGGAATATATGGATTTCCTGCCATTTGGAAGTTGAGACCCATCCTTCCACTCAGGAATGGGTGAGAGTTGCCTTCAGGTAAAGAGTTGGTGAGCAAACCTTCAACAGAGTCAGAAGGGCTTCTCTGTGCCTCCTGGGTCCATAACCCACAGACGACTGGGTAGTCTCTAGGATCTGTCAATCATCTGGCTTGCAGACATAGATCCTTGTTTTGCCAGAATCTGTGGCGAGGGAGTCAGACCCCGGGGGTGGGGATGGGAGGTTCTGCAGGAAGACGAAACAGCTCCTGTCTCTATAGTTTGTCAGAAGTGTGCCCAGAGACTGGTGACCCAGAGGGTGAAGCACCTGGGAGATGGGACAGAATGAGAAACAGCGAGAAAACCAGGGATATTAGGTTAAAGAAAAGAGAACGGGGTGTGTGAGCTTTGGGGCCACAAGTAGAAGGTAGAGAGGGGTGCAGAGGAAGCAAGAGATAGAACAGGATGCATGATTTAAGGGCACCCCTGCATTTCTCCAGAGCTAGTATCATGGATACAGAAATTATGCCTAGTATGGGGTGATTGATTTCTACTTATGGTGAGAACGAACCTCCATTCCTGGAGAATGGGCACTCCAGGCTGCCCATCAGAGTCAACGGGTGCCTTGTGACAGAATGATCTTCCTGTCACAGGAAGAATTGCAAGTAGGTGCCAATACCAGTTAGCAGTTCAGCACAGAACTCCGAGGGATCCTTTAGACATCCTCAAGGGCTCTTTACAACCTGGAGTTTCTGTGGCTCTCACGGCAGCCTCCTTCCCAGCTTCCCTAAGCCGTGACTTGCGGTCAGTGGTCAGGGAGGTGGGCAAGGTGGAGTGGGGGTGCTGGAGGTGGGACGAAGGCCATCTCTCAGGTTGTGAAGAGTGATGGTTTCATTTTCACCCCCACAAATTACCACTTTCAAAAGCCTCCCTTTGCCTGCTGCTCTCTGTTGAGGAGTTCGGATATTTTACATTGTTAATGGCAAAGCCTTGCTTGTTATTTCCTTTACACACTTCCCCACTAGGGAGCTCTGCTAGGGACACACGGTAGGTGTGACCTTGTGCTGTGGGTGCCAAGCTCCCACTGCAGAATGCCATGTGTGAGGCTGCAGGGGATCTGCAGAGCCACTGGTCCCGAGCGCACACACAGCCCAAAGGCCCATCCTATGCCTCCAGGAAAGGCCAAAGAGCCAGGTGCACCCGAGAGGGACAGGCAGGGGAGGGGTGAGGAGGTGCCGACGGAAGCCCTGTCTTTGTGGCGTTCGATTCTTTTACTGTTCTGGCACAGTCCCGACTTGGCTGCCTGCTAGGGTTTTGAGCCTGGCCTCCTCCATTGGAAAACTGATGAAGAGGAGTCCATCCCCTGTTATGGAGGAGGCCGGCCACGCCTGCTGCAGAGTCACAACCCAGACGGGGCCTGGATGGTGGGAGTGGGCTTGGTTCAGGGAAAAGACAGGTCTGCCAAAATCTTCCAATCGCATCTGACTCATCCCCCAGATATCCCTTTTAGAAACAATATGTGTTGAAAACCCACTTGGCTTATCATTCCTCTAGGACAGAACTAGAGGAATTTCAAATAAATATTTTGTCCCTGCTCACTAAGAAATTTCCATTTTCACATGACAACTGGCATATTAACAGACATTTCAAGAATGCTTTAAATGAAGATGATATATAGCTTTTTGATATGAGCCCTGATTTTTCAAAAGCAGAAGAGGCAGCATTGATTTTGTTTTAAAGGCATGGTAGCCCAAAGGAGGTAAAGCAGAGAGATACCAGGTTCAAGGGAGGGCCAGGAGGTAAAATCAATAGGGTAGAATAGTGGGAAAAAAATCAATGAATTGAAGTTTTTTTAAGTGAACATATGCACGCGAGGGAGTCTTCCCTGACCTCCATGCTCCCATAGCATCCTGAAAAATGACTCGCATTTCCGGAGCACCTCTTCTATGTCCAGCACTATAAAGTGTTCAACTACCCTATAGTATAGGGCCAAGCACAGTGGCTCACACTTGTAATCCCAGCTCCTGGGGAGGCCAGGGTGGGAGGATCACTTGAGGCCAGGAGTTTGAGACCAGCCTGGGCAATATAGTAAGACCTTGTCCCTAAAAAACAATAATAATAAAGGTTTCTTAAGAAAATGAAGGCTGGGGATGGGCTCAGTGGCCCACGCCTGTAATCTGGGCACTTTGGGAGGCCGAGGCACGTGGATGACCTAAGGTTAGGAGTTCAAGACCAGCCTTACCAACATGGTGAAACCCTGTCTCTACTAAAAATACAAAAATTAGCTGGGTGTGGTGGTGTGTGCCTGTAGTCCCAGCAACTTGGAGGCTGAGACAGAAGAATTGCTTGAACCTGGGAGGCGGAGGTTGCAGTGAGCCAAGATCGCGCCTCCGCACTCCAGCCTGGGCGACAGAGTGAGACTCCATCTCAGAAAAAAAAAAAAAGGAAGAAAGAAAAGAAAAGAAAAGAAAATGAAGGCTGGGTGCAGGGACTCATGCATGTAATCCCAACACTTTGGGAGGCTGAGGTGGGTGGAATGCTTAAGCCCAGGAGTGGGCAACATGGCGAAACCCCATCTCTACAAAAAAAAATAGAAAAAACTTAGCCAGGTGTGGTGGCATACACCTGTAGTCCTATCTACTTGGGAGGCTGAGGCAGGAGAATCGCTTGAGCCCAGGAGGCAGAGGTTGCAGTGAGCCGAGACCACACCACTGCACTCCAGCCTGGGCAATGGGAGTGAAACCCCGTCTCAAAAAAAAAAAAAAAAAAGAAAGAAAACAATTACCTTATAGTATCGATAGTATCACCATCCTAGTTTAGAGATGACAAACTGAATCTGAGAGGTTAATTTCCCCAAGATTGCATAGCTAAGTAAGAGGTGAACCCAGGGGTTTGAGCCAGATAGTGATTCTTAAGCTTCAGATCCCGTCCATTACACTACCTCCAGCAAAGCACATCGCATTGTTTTGTAATTCCCACTAGACTGAGCCCTTTGAGTGAGGACCTGCATCTCAGTCATCCATACTAGCTGCCCATTATAAGTGCTCAGGAAATATCTGTTGAATGTCAGATGAACTGACTGTTCCATTTCATACACATATTTGTGCCGATGGAATGAATTCACCGAGCGGTACATGCCCATTCTGGTTCTGCAGGGCGCTGCCTTCATCCCCATTCCCTTGGTTGACACCAGCATCCAGGGTTTTCCAGGGGGTGGTTTGATGGCCTGCATTTGAGCTAAAGAAAGAACTTCCGTCTGCCTCCTGGAGCCAAGCTACTGTACTGAGTGCTTATTCTCTTGTACACAGCTGAAGAAAGATAAGGCTTTGATGGGCCCCTTCCAGGATGGGCTGTCCTACTCTGTTTTCAAGACCATCACAGACCAGGTCCTAATGGGTGTGGACACCAGGGGAGAATCAGAGGTCAAAGCTCAGGGCTTTAAGGCTGCCCTTGCAATAGACGTCATGGCCAAGCTCACAGCTGTTGACAACCATCCGATGAACAGGGTGCTGGGCTTTGGCACCAAGTACCTGAAAGAGAACTTCTCACCATGGATCCAGCAGCACGGTGGATGGGTAAGCGTATCGTATTTAAAAACAAATTTTCTCAGAACCCAGAAGAGATGGGATGGGATGGAATTTTTCTTTTTTTTTATTTATGAAGGGAACACATCTATGAAGCAGTTCTCATGAGTTTAGGACACTTGAGTGGCAAGAGACAGATCCCATTGATGGGAACATATTTTTAGTGATTATCTTCATCATCAATAAATATTTACTGAGCTCTCCAAGGGTATGTAGGGTATGTGTGGATGGAGAGGGACTGGTCAGATGGAACAGGAAATGAGGAGATGCTGAGATAAGAAATGTTTAGATAGATGTAATTTCTGTTTTCACAAATTTTGCAGGCAACAGAAGTCTGGCAGGGAGACAAGGGGAGGCAGACAGTTCTCCACACTTGCAGATACTTACAGGTCGCAGGGACTAAGCCTCATGCAGAGACTCAGGGTTCACGACATTTTGTCATTGCTGCTTTGACCCAGCCATTTTGAGGGTGACATTTTGATACCAAATAAAAAGCCAACAGTTAAACTTTCATTTTCAATTACCTGATATCAGTCAAAACAGACCTCTTTCCCCTAGGCCTCAAACCCTCTCCCATCCCTCATCCCCAGTTCCTCAGGTCTCCTTAAAACTGCCATGTTCAAATGGCTACATAAGGTCCACCGTGTCAAAATGTGCTACCCCAGAACTTTAACTCTCAACAGGCCTAGGCATTCCTAGGTGGACAGACCTTCACCTCACATTATCCTTAGTTCGCTTTCCACTAGAATGGTCCAGGGGCCAGCAGGAGGATTGAGTTGGCTCTAGGCATGGCTGGAGTGACCCTGGGACCTCCACATAGCCTTGGTCTCCTTGTTCACAGAAGGAAAGTGCAGCTGGTCTTGCCCAAGGGTCTTCAGCGGCCGCCATGGCCTTCAGCGCCCGCCATGGCCTTCAGCGCCCGCCATGGCCTTCAGCGCCTGCCATGGTCTTCAGTTTCTGTACATTGAGTTCCTTTCTATTTTCCACTTTTGCACCAAGTATGATAACCCTAAGTGGCTGATCTGAACAACCAAGGCTGTTCTTAAGTATTCTAAACTTAAGCTGCCTTAGTTTATTCTAAAAGGAGGACAGGTTCCTCAACATTGTTTTAGTTCTACCTATTCTTCTTTCCAGGATTCCTCCACCCCAACAACCTCCTCGAGCCCTCATCTGCCCCAGAGTCTCTCCTGACGCTTCCAGCTCAAAGGCTGCACAGCCTCTAATCTCCAACACTTCATGTTTGCACCCTAATAATAGACAAAAGATGATCAAATTCCCAATTGACTATGTTTCAAGCATTCATTTAAAAAATCATTGTTAGTCCTCTTAATATATTTTCTCAGAGAAATTATAATTATCAATTGGGTTCACAGGCCAGCTCTCAAAAATCTATTTAATCCACTAATGTAGCTAAAATACCATAAATATGCTATAAAAAGCAGTGGTTCCACACCAAAAGCACAAGCAACTAAAGAAAGAATAGATACACTGGATTTTGTTTTGTGCTTCCAAGAACACCACCACCAAGAATGTGAAAAAAAAACAAAACAAAAAAACCCACGGAATGGGGAAAAATACTTGCAAATAATATCTCTAATAAAAGACATATCTAGAATATATAATGAACTATTATAATTGAACAATAAAATGTCAAATAACCCAATTTTCAAATGAGCAATGGATTTGAATAGACATTTCTCCAAAGAATATATATAAATGGCTAAAAGCACACAAAAAGAGGCTTGACGTCTTCATTTCAACAGTAGGAAAATGCAAATCAAAGCAACATTGAGCTCTAACCACTATGGTGGCTAAAATGAAAAGGAAAAGTATTGATGTTGGTGAAGATGTGGAGAAATTGGAACCGTTTATGTTGCTGGTTGGATTGTAAAATGGTGCAGTCCCTTTGGAAAACCACTTGGGAGTTCCCAGAAATGTTAAATATAAAGTTACCAATTCCACTCCTGGATATATACCCAAGAAAGTTGAAAACATATTTTCATACAAAAATGTGCACATGAATGTTCATAGCTTCTATTAGCCAAAGAGTGGGAGCAACCCAAATGTCCATCAACTGATGAATGATGAATGGATAAGGAAAATGTAGTATAGCCACCCAATGGAATATTATTCCACTATAAAAATAAAGCAAGTATTGATACATGGATGAACCTTAAAAACATTGTGCTAAGTGAAAAAAAGTCAGGCAAAAAGGCCATATACTGTATGATTCCATGTATAGGAAGTGTCCAAAATAGGCAAATGTATAGATACAGAAAGCAGACTTGTTGCCAGGAGCTGAGGGTGAGAGAATGGGAATAATTGCTAATGGATGTGAAGTTTATTTTTGGAGTGATGATAATGTCCTAAAATCAGAGGTGATGTTTGCATAACTGTGAATATACTAAAAGTGAATATACTAATTCACTGAATTAGTGAATTTTATAGCACAATTATATTTCAATAAATCTTTTATAAAACTAGCAGTTCTAATTCTAGTAATCAAAAAGAGGAAAGAGAGATGAATACATTTTTTTTTTTTTAATTTGGCTGCTGGTACTGGAGAAAAAAAAACAGTTCCAATTAGAAAAAAAAAAGATGAATTATTCCGTAGGAATACTAAAGCGGATTTCCAAAGGCTTCAGAACTTGATGGCACTAGTTCTTTAACATCTGTAGTTTCAATTCAAAATGTATTTCTTATCCAAGTTATCATAAACCTTAATCTTAACTCTTGGCCGTAGTTAAGTTTAATTTGGAGCATGTCAGTGGAAATTAGGAGAGGGGAGAAAAATAATGTGAGAGGGGATGACTAATTTTTCCAAAGGGTACAAAAAAAATAAAGGATGTTGATAAAGAATATTTATGAACTGATATGAGCTATGGAAGTGTGAAGGACATGTGGATTGGGGCATGTGCTCAGAGTCCCTTAACGGGAAAAAAGGAAGACACTGGGAAGTAAGCCTCCTGGGACTTCCATTGGCACCAAGTGTCTCAATGGCCGTCTGTGCTGTCCTTGTAGTAGTGTGGGAGGAGAGAAATCTAGTCCCATGCACAAGCTTTCCGGAAGCTCAGGGTTCCTAACTATCTCAGTATTCCACATTTCATAGGAGTACATGTCATCTTCCCAACTAAACTGCAAATCTGTAAGGGTGAGATTGTGTATTTTATGATGGCTCCTTTAATCTCCCATAGCTCCCATTCCTCTACCTAACACCATAGATGTTCAGCCAGAACTTGTAGAACAGTGAATGAATCGATCAAATGAATGAATAGCAACTCTATCTACAAGGCTGCCAAACAAGCTACTGTGAGATTCTGATTCACTCTTCGGTTCTTTGTTCTGTCTGTGGAGCACCGTTCACATAGTTACCTTGCAGTCCTGCCACCTCACCCATTCTGTAGCACTCTGAAAGGAGAGGGTTGTAACCTCCATAGTCATTGACCTTTCAGTACCCACTTTTTTTGAATTTTAAATACACCCTCGAAGCCCTCCCATCTTCAAGAAAAGATCCAGCCTGTTAACTCTGGGTGTGTAACGTTAAGACCTTGGCTGATGTTTTCCTTGCAGGCATACCAAGAATGCCAGTTACCTCTCCAAACCCTCCCCCAAACTAACATGGTCTCCTGAGCCTTGGGTCGTGCCTGGGATAGAGCAGAGTTAGCAGCCATATGTTTTCACTTCGACAGTAAATCTGACTTGGAATTTTAAGAATCTATTTTTCCCCCTCTAGGAAAAAATACTTGGGATATCACATGAAGAAGTAGACTGAAATAGCAGATTTGTCGTCAGGAATACTCATCGCCTACTGTGGCCCTGTGTGCACTGGCCTCAGATGGACTACAGGAGATTACCATGTACAAGGCAGAGGGAGCACTGACGTTTTCAAAACCATTATTCCCGTGACTGGAGAGGCATCAAGAGAGGCCTTGTTCGTCTCCAGCTCATAGAACGTAGCAGCGTAGTCCTTGACATTGATGTTTTTCAGGCCCTCCATTGAGTGCCTGAGGAAATCTATAAAGATAAGTGGCGATGTTGTTCCAAACACTCAGAACAGATACCATCATCCTGCCTTTGTTAGCTGCTGTAGGGAAAGTGTGTTACAGATGTCTGCTGACCTCACAGGGGTGAAATGATAAACTGTGCATGTGTTTACACTTCCGTTTCTAGTACTATTTATTTTTAAACTACACTTGGGGAGGCCTAATACCTAGGAAGATGTTGCTCTTCACGTTAGTAAACACAGCCTAAAGAAACTCTTAGGTTTACTGCTAAGAGTTTCCATTTGTTTGGAGAGATAACTGTTGTCTGTGCCTTTTTGAAAAACTTCCATTTGGTACAAAATTTTTACTTCAACAACCCCTCAACCCTTTTCTCAGGGACCACACCTCTTCTTCCCAAGGTCCCTGGGACTTCATCATTCTTTGTGGTAGTGCAATGATTGGTAGCAGGTAAAATAAATACATAGAAAGACAACTGTCAAAAGAGTGTCTTCTGATTAGTAAGTAATAAGTCTTCTGATTGAGCATCAAATGAGTTAATTTACATAAAGTGCTTAGAACATTTCTTGGTACTTAATGTTATGTCTTCACTTATGGTCTCTAATATGTGCTGCTCTCAGCTAAGCTGCCAATTTCCTCTTCTGTCAACGCATTCCCTGATCGTTTTCCTGACATTGAGGCTGTTCAGTCTAAGGTTTTTTAGAAATATGCTCAATAGTAAGTGTTCAAGACATAAAACAATTTAAAAAATACTATAAAATATAAGGTCTTATAAATTTCTGGATATCTAGTACCCAGCAGATGGCCTGATGTAAAATTGGTGCTTAATAAACCTTTGAAGAATAAATACATCAATAAGTCAGACATACTCTCAGGTTCAAGGGAAAACTGGATCTATCTATTATCAAATGCTTCACTAGCCTACCCATCTCAATAAAATGAGTTATTCTCTTTTGTTTTCTTCTCCCACATGGAAGTCATCAGTGTTAGGGATAGAGGAGTCTCCATTTTTTTGTTTGTTTGTTTTCTTTCGTTTTGAGATGGAGTCTTGCTCTGTCACCCAGGCTGGAGTTCAGTGGCGTGATCTCGGCTCACTGCAACCTCCACCTCCTGGGTTCAAGTGATTCTCCTGCCTCAGCCTCCCAAGTAGCTGAGACTACAGGCACTGCCAGCATGCCTGGCTAATTTTTTTTTTTTTTTTTAAATTTTTAGTAGGGACGGGGTTTCACCGTGTTAGCCAGGATGGTCTCAATCTCCTGACCTTGTGATCTGCCTGCCTTGGTCTCCCAAAGTGCTGGGATTACAGGTGTGAGCCACCACGCCCGGCCAGGAGTCTCCTTTTATACATGGAGACACTGAAGACCACCTCTTCCTCCACTCTGATCCCACCATTCCAAACTCTTTGCAGTTCCCCAAAGGTATTATGCAACCTGGTACCTCTGAGCCTTCATAACAATATCCTCTCTACTTGGAGTGCTCTTGCCTGCTGGCTTCCTTTCCCCCTATTTCCACTAAAACAACTAACTCTAGCTCATCATTCCAAATTTCCTTCATTTCCTCTAGGACTCATTTGCTAACCCTCCCTTGGCCATCACGTGACTGTATTTGGATGCCTTTTCCCATAAGATGCTCCACATCACCCTGCATGTAGACATTATGGTTAATACATTGCACCGTAAGATTTGGTTTACCCAGTCTTTCTCAGTGAATTGTAAAGTCTTTTGCAAACAGGTGCTATGCCGAATTTAACTTTATATATCTAATGCCTGGCATGGTTTTGGCACACAGTTGCAGAACCATACCCTCGTCTGACTGATATAGCTTGTAAATCAGTATGACTGGAATATGCCCTAAGATATATGTACTTACGACAAACTCGCCACGTGTTTCCAGTATCATCTACAGCTTGTGGTCAAGATAAGTAATTAACCAGATTTAATCTCCTGCTTGAAACAACTAAAAAAAAAAAAAAAAGACAAAATATATGAGAATGATTTTTAAGGCATTGGACATCAGGTAATGGGGGACTGGTCCCTGAGAGATGAAACTGTAAGTGAGCCCTATGTCTGCCCTAGAGTACTGCATGTAAAGAGTTTCTAGGCCATGCTGGAGAGAGGGGAACCCACGCAAAGTTCACCAGCTCCCTGAGTAGAGGGGATAGAGCTAGGAATCCATAAAAGTCAGAGCAGCTGAAGTTTGCAAGTCTGATAAAGGATGAAGGAGAGTGGCACACAAAGCTCCAGAGACCTGCAGACATTTCCTCTTAGGTGTTCAGATGAATACTGATCAAAACATGCGCATGAAGAAATTACGCAAAGCATGGGGAAGAACCACCTGAAAATATTAAAAGGAGCGCTCTCCAAAGCCTACACAAAGCCAGGAATACTGCCTGTTTGGGCAATAGGTAGAACACACAAAACAATTTTGTCTCAGAAGTGGCAAAAATTAGCCCTAGACTAAGAACTCTCTGGTTCTGCACAAGCTAAAGATTAAGAGCAAAAACTTAAAGGATTAAACTGTTACCAAGTAACTGAGCTGTGTTCTAGAACAAACACAAGGATATCTATAGAATAATCAAAATATCCAACATCCAACAAGATAATAGTCACAATGTCTAGCTTCCAATAAAAAATTATAAGGCATGCAAAAAAGCAGCAAAATGCAATCCATCATGAGAAGAAAAATCAGGAAATCTATAATGTTACAGGCGATAGAATTGTTAGACATTAGAACTAGTATAACTGTATTCCACATGTTGAATAAGCCAGAAGAAAGAAAACATGCAAAGGACACATAGAACTTATAATAAGTATGACTCAGACCAAAGTTCTAGAGATGAAATCTGTAACAACTGAGATGAAAAACATGCTGGATTGCATTAATAGCAGATTAGACATCACAGAAGAATGGATAGGTAAACTTGAAGACAGCAATAGATCCAAAATAAAAAACAGAAAAATAAGATTGGGGGAGAAAACAGCAATAGCGAATTGTGGAATGACTTCTGATGGCCTAATATAGGTATAATTGAAGTGAAGATTTTCCAAATTTGATGAAAACTATAAACCCACAGAACCAAGAAATTCTACAAATGCCAAGCACCAAAAACAGGGACAGGGAGGAAACTACGCCAAGGCACACCATAAATTGCTCAAAGCAGTGATAAAGAAAAAAATGTCTTCCAAGCAAGCAGAGAAAAAGGCATATTATATGCAGAGAAAGAAAACTTAAAATGACAGCAAACTTCTTGGAGAATAACACAAAAGAAACAGTAACCTCTCTAATGTATCAACACACACACACACAAACTATAAATGCAGAATTCTATACCCAGCCAAAAGATAATTTTAACATGTAGGGAAAATAAAGACTTTTTAGATGCATAAATCCTAAAAGAATTCCTTATCAGCAAACCTGAACTATAATAAATATTAAAGAAATTTCTTAGATTGAAGCCAAATTATTCCAAATAGAAATTTGTATCTTAAAAAAAGCACTAGAAATGATAAAACGTGGGTAAATATAAAGAATTTTTAATTAAAAGATAATGTACTATTTAAAAGAAAAAAATACTGTGTTAAAAGAAAAAATTTAATGCATATTAAAATATATAAGAATAATAGTACAGAGGGTAGGAGACAGAAATGGAAGTGTAATTGTATAGTTCCACACTATATGTCAAGTGCATAATTTCCCTTGAAAGTAGACTGGGCCAGGTGCAGTGGCTCATCCCTGTAATCTAGCCACTTCCAGAGGCCAAGGCAGGAGGATCACCTGAGGTCAGGAGTTCAAGACCAGCCTGGCCAACCTGGTGAAACCCCATCTCTAGTAAAAATACAAAAATTAGCCAGGCATGGTGGTGCACACCTACAATCCTAGCTACTCAGGAGGCTGAGGTGAGAAGATCGCTTGAACCTGGGAGGTGAAGTTTTCAGTGAGCCAAGATTGCGCCATGCACTCCAGCCTGGGTGACAGAGCAAGACTCTGTCTCAAAAAACAAACAAAAAATAGACTGTGGTAAGTTAAAAATGTATACTATAAACCCCAAATCAACCCCTAAAACACACACACACACAAACTGATACAAAATTTATAGCTAATAAGCCAACAACAGAAGTAAAATAGAATCATGAAAAATAATCCATAACAAGGCAAAAAAGGACAGATGAGACAGAAACAGCAAGTGGTCTATTAAACTCAACCATATCAATAATCACAATGAATGCAAATGATATAGATATTCCAATTAAATGGCAGACATTATCAAATTGGATTAGAAAGTCAGACCAACTTTATACACATACACATCCTCCAAAAAAAAAAACTTTAAATACAAAGACATGAACAGGCAAGGATGGATGCTTTGTGAGGCCAAGGTGGGTGGACTGCTTATGTCCAGGAGTTCAAGACCAGCTTGGGCAACTTGACAAACCCTCTTCTCTACAAAAAACACGCAAAAATTGTGTGGTGGCCCATGCCTGTAGTCCCAGCTTCTTGGGAGGCTGAGGAGGGAGGCTCACTGGAGCCCAGTAGGTCAAGGCTGCAGTGAACCATGTTCATGTCACAGCACTCCAGCCTGGGTGACTGGGTGACAGAAAGAGACCCTGCCAAAAAAAAAAAAAAAAAAGTCAAAAGACGGGAAGATGTACCAAAACACCAGTCAAAGGAAAACGGAGTGGCTACGTTAATATCAATCCAAGTAGATTCAAAGCAAATGACATTACCAGGTGATATAGTTTGGATGTTTGTCCCCTCCAAATCACATGTTGAAATACGATTCTCAATTTTGGAGATGGGCCTAGTGGGAGTTGTTTTTGTCATAGGGGCAGATCCCTCATGAATGGGAGGGATTCCTGAAGTAATAGGTTCACACAAGATCTGGTTGTTAAAGAGTCTGGAATTTTCCACGTCACTGTTGTTCCCTCTTTCATGTGACATGCCTACTCCCCCTTTCCCTTCTGCCATGATTGTAAGCTTCCTGAGACCCTCACTAGAAGCAGATGCCAGCACTATGCTTCTTGTACAGTCTGCAGAACTGTGAGTCAAAATAAACCTCTTTTCTTTATAAATCACCCAGTCCCAGGTATTCCTTTATAGCAATGCAAAATGGACTAATACACCAGGGAAAAAGAATGTCATTTAATAATAATAAATGAGTCA